TTCCCTCAATTTTTCGGCTTCCTTCGATTTTTCGACCTCCTTTAATTCTTCGGCTTCCTTCAATTTTTCGGCCTCCTTTAATTTTTCGGCCTTCTTTAATTTTTCGGCTTCCTTCAATTCTTCGGCTTCCTTCAATTTTTCGGCTTCCTTCAATTCTTCGGCTTCCTTCAATTTTTCGGCTTCCTTTAATTTTTCGGCTTCCCTCAATTTTTCGGCTTCCTTCGATTTTTCGACCTCCTTTAATTTTTCGACCTCCTTTAATTTTTCGGCTTCCTTCAATTTTTCGGCATCCTTCGATTTTTCGGCTTCCTTCAATTTTTCGGCCTCCTTCGATTTTTCAGTTTCCTTCAATTTGTCAGCTTCCTTCAATTTCTCGGTCTCCTTCGATTTTTCGGCATCCTTCGATTTTTCGGCTTCCTTCAATTTTTCAGCCTCCTTCGATTTGTCGGCTTCCTTCGATTTGTCTGTTTCCTTTAAATTTTTGGTTTCCTTCAATTTTTTGGCATCCTTCGATTTGTCGGCTTCCTTCAATTTTTCGGTCTCCTTCGATTTTTCGGCAGATTTGCCAAACGCGTATTTCGCGGCAGTTGACTTTCCGCTCATTTTCGTGAACACCGAAGAAGCACTGCGCCGATATTAGAAATCTCGAACGCAAAAGAACGGTACGTACGAGAGATAACGCGAGACACTTCTGTAAGACACGTTTGAAATCGATCGCAAAGCGGTTACGAACTGTCGATCGGAGAGGTCGAGTTTCGATCCTTTGCGATGTGCGCCGTGTGTTTATCGCCAGTCGCTGGTTGCGTGACAGCCGCGTGTACGTATCACGGGAACGACGATCCGTTCCACTGTGAAAGCAATATCGGTCTTGACTCTTGCGTGAGGTCGCGATAGGTCTACATATTTTATTTTCCCTTTTTTCCCCCCCTTTAACCGTTGTATTCTTCCTTTCTTACAATACACAGCTTCTTTTGTTAAACATATGCGTTTAATAACACGTAATGCCTTTCGAGTACTTATCCGACTTTCAACGGTACCAAAAGGTCGAAGTGAGAAAATTTAATTTGAATTTTGTTTACGAACACGCTCGCTCGAAATATATTTGTATATCTCGGAGCAAATGATTGTAGATAACGTATAATTTATAAATTACATACCAAATCAATCTGGGGAACGGGCACCTCGTATTCTAGAACTCTTCAGATTTCGTCCATAGACTATAGAAGACTGTGATTCCAGTCGGAATTGCTCAGTCATTTTTTATACTTTTCTAGGGAAAACGGAAAAACTCCAAAATCCCATGGACCCATGGGGAGCTTTCCAACAAATGACACAAGTGTCATTTTGTCTTTGTTACTCATTGCCAAAAAAGAAAGATAGAACGACGTTTGTGTCGACTTGTGTCGCTTGCTAGAAACTCCCATGTATTCCCATGTATGTGAAATCCATTCCGAACAGTTTCATATTCCCTGGAGTGATTTTTACAACCGTAGTATAAAAAAAAAAAAATGAAACTCACGTCAAAGTAATTTTTTTTCGATCGAAAGTTCATATCTACTTTTTCGAGCGAAGCTTTTTGGGCTTTCGAGAACTAATCCTGCATAATAGGAAAAATTTAGGACCTGTACGTACATTCGTAGCACCGATTAAAATTTGCTGAGGTGTAGAAATCACCCCAGGTGACCGTTATAAAACGTTATAAAATATAATAAAATATGTAATTTTATATTATAATAGTGTTCAAAATAGTAATATGAATTTAAATAACAAAGTAACAACTAAATAAAATAATTGCTATAATTTATCTAATGCAAAACATGTTTTTTAATACCAAATATGATATTTTTGTATATTATTTATTATATTTTAATCTGATTAATACATATAAAAGATTTTAGGGAAAATCTAGTTTTAATATGAATATTTATTTTTATTTTAAAATACTTTATGTAACTCAGATTTATATATAATATAATAAACAAACACAAACAAATCATTTTTAGTAATTCTTGACAGAGGAAACACAATAATAATTTTATATAGCGAATAGTCTTATTTTAAATTGCTATGAAATGGATGTTATATTAACAATTTTCTTTCTTTCTAATAACTATTCTTTTTACAAAACCTTTAAATATGCAATTCTATCAAAAATCTACAATATAAAAGCGTTTTATTAATTGATATCTTTTTTTAAAAATACTGTATATCACAATAAGCCGCTTAATGTGCTTTTTTCGTTGTTTAAACATTTTTTTATTTCTCCTTACTTTTTTCAGAAAATGTTGAGTAAATCTATGTGTATGTATATATTGTCCTCAAATACTAATACATTATAAAACAATCAAAAATATGCAGTATGTATTATGATTAATAGATAACAATAACTTTTAATTGGAATAAAAATCACTCCAGATAACCAGATATGCAAAAAAAAAAAAAAAAATTTAGGCGCCCGTTCCCGGGTAAAGTGTGGTTATACAATTAACAATAAATAACAAAAATTAAAAATTTTTGATAAACGATACGTTTTCCCTTATTTGCCATTTCAGTTCCAAGTGAACGTTGGTTTCACTCGTCTAGTTTGTCTCGTTTCTCTCGCATTTTTTACATTTGGAAATCTTAAATCTGCTTTACTGTACATAGCTCGAAATTTGCTTCATTTCTCTCTTGTGACTTTCCGTAAAAAATAATTTTTTATCCGTTGAAAATTGGAGACGCTGATCTTCTTGAGTCGCATTGAATTGGAATTTTAACAGTCGTTTGACGAGTTCTGCAAACGGACGAAAGTCCCACCGACCCTATTCAATATATTCACGGCCGATGAAGACATCATCCGGACGCATCGCTCGCTTTCGACAATCGTCATCCAATTCGCATGACACGACGACCCGATGATATCGAATCACTTGATTTCTTCCGGGAATCTTTCGCGATTATCCTGGCTCGTATAATACGAGAAATCGGAGCTTTGTTTTCTAATGTAATCTTAAATCGAGTTTTTAATTCGAACTTAATCAAGTTTGAAAACGAGTGAAAATTTACGCGATAAAATCAATTAACCTTATATTAATTAAATTAAATTAATTATATTAATAAATTAAATTCAGATCAAGATATATGTAAAAGGGATTAATATTTGTGAAATCAGAAAATCTTTTCTAATTTAATTATTATTGTCTCCCCCTCTCTCTCTCTCTCACTCTCTTTTTCTCGCTTCCCTCCTCTCTTTCTCTCTCCCTCTTTCTTTCTCTCTTTCTTGTTCACCCCTCAAAGATAATGTCTATATTTAATTCTAATTGTAAGCAATTATCGCCGAAACGATAAGATATATAAAAAATGTTTTAGAGAGATAAAACTTTTATATATTTAAAACTGTGTATTTAGATTTTTTCAAAAATCTAATAGTTTTCAAAATACCTTTATCCCCATTATTATTTTTATTTTGTGAAATTATATTTCTTTTACGAATAAAAATTAAAAATAATTTTGTGCTAAATTTATCTATATGTATTATAACAAAGTTATTTTACAAAATTGCATCTTTAAGAAACCGCATCTTTAATAAGCGAAAAAATTGTTATATGCGTCGCGACACGATTAATAGTTGTAGCATTACAGATTATAAATGATATTAAAGGAAATAATAGTTTTTCTCTTTAAAATTCCTAAATCTTCCGTTTCTTTATTCAGTCTTTATTCTATGGTTTTTGTCATCATTTTTTAATAATATTTTAAGTCTATTCTTTTAAAACTATTTTTATTCTTACATCTTACATTTTATTTTTTTGTAGCGTTTACACAATTTCTAAACGCACTTAATAACGAAATAATTTCTAAATATTTATACAACTTTTGTATTATTTATTTTATTATACACATATTATGATAAGGATATTCAAAAAATGTTTTAAACATTTCTTGATTTTAATGATTTCTTGCACGCAGGAATGTCTTACTCCAGCTATATCGTTGCAACATTCGATATCGCATGTTGTTATGAAGTGTCAAAAACTAAAACTGGATTTTCAAATTCTTCTGGTCTTTTGTTTATATACCCACTTTTGAACCACAAATATTTAAACTTTTTTTAAATATTTGTGGTTTAAAATGATGTTAAAAATTACACTAATAATATATATATGACCTTGATTTAAAAGATCTCTTACATCAGAATCATGACATTTCAAAAAATTTCCAAACTCGACATTTCTTAAGCTATTCAGTGTACTTTTAAGATAAGTGTACCTTTAGATAAGCATAAGTTTACAGATTATTTTAAAAAGGAGAAGAAGTTTATTTTCTAAATATGAGTTCTGATAACGTTCTTAACGATTTATGGAATGACCCAATATTATTTCCTATTATCACCAAGAAAAACGTATATATCACTACTATAATAATACTTACATATTAGCATTACAGGAAAAATACAACCGTTAGTAGTTTATGGATTATAGATTTGGAAAAAGTTTACTAGAAGATTTTCAGATATTGTTTTATTATTGGAAAGTAATATAAATTTGTATCAACAAAATAATTTAATAAAATTGCAATCTCTTGTACATAATCAATTGTTATCTTCTTGATATTACAACTTATTTAAATAATCATGGTTTACCAGTGGATATATAAACCAGAAGAATTCGAAAATTTAGTAAAATTTAGTTTTAAAGATACTTCAACAATATGCGATA